AAGCCACAGATACATATGATGCAAGTGGTAAAATAACAGAAGAACAAGGATTTGGTAAGATTAAATTTGTTGATGTCTTTCATATGTCTCATATGCATTTCTATATTTCTAGATATTTAGTATATAGAAATGAAACTGCACAGAGTGAAGATATTGTTTGAATACATTAGGTTATGATTTATCAAAATCTCAAATTGTTGTTTTGTAGCACACAACTGAGTACGGTATTTCTTCAATAAAACTCTTAATGTAATAAGCATGTGTGCTGATCAACCATTTTGATATGCACAATAAAAATCATTGTACATGCATATTAGTGTTTTTCATTGATAAATACTTAATTTTGTCGCAAAATCAACCTATTTTGTTTGTGATAAATCATATTTTAATTTGGTCAATATGGAGTATCAAACACAATATTTAAAAAATATGTTTTCATCCATGTTGCATCTTTAATAGTTGGAATGTTATTTATTATGAGTTATTAGCTATATCACATATTTGTAAAATGTATTACTTCCTTTACAAATTTTTGCTGAGCTGTATTTTGATGACAGGGTCCATTTTTTGAACCACTATGTGGAAAGGGTTCACATTTGTCAGTGCTTAGTCTGGAAAGGAATATAAGCAAATGCATCAAGTGAAAATAAACCTTGAAATCTATGCATAATTTGTGAAGATACCGTTTTTTTAATATTCACTAATTTCAGATCACATCACACATCAATCATTTGAGAACATGTTACAAAAATTCATAGGAAATTTGATGCAAGTGCCACCGATGTAAGTTTAATTCTTGTATTCATTTTTTTCCAAACTTACAGAATATGGAAAAATTCCTTAGAATCCTTGTCTTCAAAACACCCCTAAAACCACCTGTCTATAATGCCCACTTGTATATAATAACCACCTGTCTATAATGACCACTTGTATGTACCTGTCTATAATAACCACCTGTCTATAATGGCCATCTGTCTATAAACATTATTTATAGTCTATAATGCCACCTGTTCATAATAACCACCTGTCTATACATGTAATTGCCAGCTGTTTATGATGACCACCTGTCTATAAATACTATTGATAATGGCCACCTATCTATGAAGACCACCTGTCTATCATAATCACCTGTCTATAAAGGTTAATTTAAGTGGTTGATATACATACAGGTTTGACTGTTACAGACTTTTCTCTCTTGTTACTGGCCAAAATGCAGATATTCAGCTTTGAAAATAGATGGTCAAAGAATGTCAAGTTTAGTCAGTCAAGGGATTGCTGTTGATCCTAAGCCAGCAAGACCAGTTGAAGTGCACAGCAT